GAAGTCTTTATTCCCATAAATAGTCTCCAAAACGGCATAACTTTGGGAACAATCAGTAATTACTTGATAATCACTGCTTTTATTGTTATTATTACTTTTGTATTGTGAATGAAATCTGCCTGAACATTTGATCATTTCAGTGGCTTTTATAGTGAACTTATGGTATATATCCCTAAATGTATATTTGTTTAATAAAATGTTCTTATATTCAGTATAAAATTTATTTAATAAATAATTTTTATAACCAGAAAGTATTTTACACAAATCTGGGAAATGATCACCAAATTGATCTAGACATTTTCTGTTCAACTCAGTGTTATTTTGTTCAGCAGAATGTTTGTATGACTCGTATTCATGACTGAGATTAAAGTATTGACTAATTTTTGTTTTATCGAAAAACACATGCCTTTCCGTACAGACAGTAATCGGCGGTAAATATAGTCTTTCCGATGGTTCAACACTCAGTCGATAAACATATGGATAACTGAAGTACTCTTTTGTTACTTCTATTCCTCCGTAGAATAGCACTGAAAGACACAACACTTTTACACATATTTTCACATTTATTTTAAAGTTGTTTTTAATGTAACTTTTTGTTATAAAAATTATATTTAACAATGAATTGAATAATATTTTTAAAACAAATAATATGATTTTAAATAATAATTTTAATTTGAAATTAATTAAAATGAAATACACATATAATTTGTAATAAATACTCCTTAATATAGTTATTATAGCCATAACTCACAAATTCATAAATGATAGAAAGCATAATATTATATAAGTACTACTTATTTAATATAAAAATCAATACCTACACCCATCACATAATGTCCACAATATATATGCAAATTAAAGTTTTCAGTTAATTAATAAAATAACTTCACAATAAAGATTGCAATGTTATATACATTAATTTTATTGATTAATATTCATTTGAAATTTAATTAGTACTTTATATTCAATATACCAGTATTTGCATACTGTATAATTAATATGTAAATTATGTAAATTAATAAATTATATAAATTATTAAGAAAAATGTAAAAGTTTTTAAAATTTGACTTTGGATTTAGAAATTGAATTGATATCTCCTTTATCAGTGATTATTGTCAAATAGAGTTCAAATAGAGTTAAAGTTGAGAATAAACTTACAAGTACTTGTACTTGTTAGTACAGAATCATTTTTCATTCTGAATTAATAATATCAAATTGTTTGGGGTTGACTATAGACATTTTTATAGATCTTATAGAACTCAAATTCTACTCAATTTTAAAGACAATTACTAATTAACTGATATAAATTCACTGATTAAACTGAATCATGAGTAAATAATCAATTGTTGTATCGATAGTGGGACAGACATCCTAAAGGATTTAGACAAAATACAGAAAAAATGAAGTTTATGAACGCATTCTTTGTGATTATAGGGATTAATATGTTACTCAATGGTGTAATCGACACTGTGGCTAATCCTGGTGGTGGCCATAGGGTATTCAACATTACTAATATGATAATACATTAATTAATGAATACTATTGTAATTATGGTGTATAAGGAAAAAAGCAGTGCTGGCTATACATGTGGTGGTAAAGCGTGTGGACCACCAGGATAATAAATGTGCTCATGTGTTTAAGCAAATTGCTGGTTAACCTCCCCTCACCTCCCTGTGCCCACAATAATGTATGATTTATTACTAAGAGGCAATGGGACACACAATTGGTAAATGTAATATAGTATTTGAAAAATATTGACAATAAAATTTAAAAATTAAGTTTAATTTAAATTGTAAATTACAATTTGTAATACAATTTGGGCTATTTTGAACTTATCGCAATAAAATATATAATTTAATTAAATCACTAATACAGTAGTAACACAAATATTGTTTTATCTCATCTATCACTAATTATACAATTTTCGTGTTAATGTATGTATAATAAAAATAAATAAAAGTAATTTAACTTCAAAATTCAAGTATTTTATAACTAAATAACTTTAAACAAAAGTGCTTATCATTTAACTAAAGTATAAGTTACATTAAAATAATTTTTTTTAATGGGCATAATACTCAATTATAATATAATTCTGGATATTTATTTATATAAAAACTATAATTTTATATTATAAAACCTGTTTATTTAAAATGATTGTTTTATTGTAAAATATTATATATATAACATGCATTCCTCGGACAAAATGTATTCAAATGCAATATTTGTGGCTATAATTGAAAGGATAAGGGAAACTATAGGTTCTTTATGTATAGACGGCATTCAGTGGACATACCGTGTGTTAAAAAACCACATATTCATCGGTCATCTGAACGTAAACTCCAATTGAAATGCAATGATTGCTATTACAGCACAAACACCGATATATTTGAAGAGATATCGGATGAACCATACAATGGATACAATGAATAATCTTATGTTTGCAACTCATGGATCCAATCAAAGAGTAAATCTTGTCTTTTAAACGAATTTTAATTCATTCAAAGGAATAACACGTTCAGCCCATACATCCTTTCATATTATCACAGGTTAACTGCCGTAATAGCACAGTAGGGTTGGACAGGAGTCCTAACGAATCGGGGTCTGACCCCTGGCTCACGAAAGGGATCTTTCCTTATGAGACACTCAAGGAATCGCAATATTATAGGATTTATATATTTTGTGTTCAATTTGACCCAAAATACTATAATTAAATATAAATATTTATTGATTATTTGTAAAAACTCATTAAATTGTTATTTTTAAATTAAAAATTCTTTTACTTAATTTAATTGATTCTTTGACAACTTATAGTATACAATATGTAACAATTATTAGATAAATAGTTTAGTTTATAAATATAATCAATAGAAATTGTCAGAAAGTCTAATCAAAAATTAAAAACAATATAATCTCAAGGAATTTTATGAAATTGTTAGCTTTTTACTTGTTGATCATAGCTCCGGTACCCCATCAACTAGTAAGGTATTTTTATTTTAATGTATTGATATACAAGCAAAGTGCACCAGTAACAGGGATTTATATACAATATTCTTTAGTGTTAACACATAGACTTTTGTAAATACAGTACCGTAATACTGTACTGAATTTATTGATTCAATTATTGATCACATAAATTAGGTTAGGAAGGGGAATAGTAGGGGATAGTAGGTAAATAAGAAACTTATTATTAAAGGGAATCAACAGTAAAACCTCACTTAATTGTTGTTATTACAGTATTATAATTATTATAATTGTAGTAATTATTAGTTTTCAAATATACAGACTTTTGTCGATAATCGATAGAAAATAATTTTTTATAGAAAACACTATCTAAAAATATTTTGTTAATTTTTGTAAACCAAAATTTGATTAATCATTACACTAATACTGTACTTGTTTTTATTAGCATAATATAAACATTTATTAATTAAAGAGATCTAGAAATTAATATATTATTTCTTCGAAATATTGCAAACGTATGTAAAATTCATTTTAATTTAATATTTTTGTGATTAGTATTTCTGTGAAATAAAGTGTATTTAAATTCAAAGTTTTGAAACTTAGTTGTTTAGTGAAATGCAAATTTAGACAAATATATTGTGGAAATGTGTGAAACACTGATCAATGATTTGATGGATGAGTTGAGTGAAGAAAATAAGAGACTTTTAAATGAGTTATCATTTGAGAGACAATTGAATGAAGTTTTGATTTGTTTTAGAAGTAATGCATTAGTTTTGATAAATAACTGCAAATGCAATCAAAACATCGATTTATTTCACAATTTAATTAAATATGAAAAACAATTTCATTCATTGAAAGGCAAACAAAAACCTCACGAAAATGAGTGCAAAACTTATGATACAAATGAAGTGAAGTTTGAGTTGTGGTCCACAGTATCGACGCAAACCATAATTAATGGTAAAAGTTGTGAACTTTGCGGTCGTAATGAAAACTCACTGAAAGACACTCAAAGACGTCGTGAAAATGAGTCCAAAACTCATGAGACAAATGAAGTGATATTTAGGAAGTTGTCCACAGAATCGACACAAACCACAGTTTGCGACATAAATTTAGACGAAACTTCAGATGAGAGTCAAACTAATTCAATAGTTTCTGGTATTTGTATTAAAATATATTTTTTATTAAAAAGTTTTTCTATAAATAAGTTTTATTTTCAGATAATCTGAAGGAAGAGCCCATCGATGAAGATATGAATACTAATGACACGAATTGCACACCAAATGCAATACAATCTCAACACAAGAATTCAAATAACAGTTTCAGTATTGACAGCATTTTGAAGCATAAAATGAGTAGAAATTCGTGGAAATTATCACTCAATAAGATGTCAGACAGTAATCACGAGGACTTCCGATGCATTGAATGCCGACAACTATTTGATACCCAAAAAGATCTGCAAATTCACGTGAATTCTGTTCACAAAAAACTTCAGTCTAATGGAGACTCCATTGCTTTGACGGCAATTCAATACTCATGTGATTCATGCGCTTATAAGGCAAACACCAGACAATCGTTGACCAGACATATGACCACCCATTCCTCTAATAGCCATTCCTTTAAGTCCAAAACTAGTGGAGTTTATAAACACTCAAAAATTAAGAGCAATTCACAGATGAATAAAAAGTCGAAAATATATAACCGCAAAGTCTGTCTCTACAGCTCAACAGAGCACCGGGAGCTCGTCAAACATGTGTCCACACAACACACTATCGTAGATAGCTATACACCTGTGGTCAGCCCTTACAGCACAGACACATCAGTGGAAAGTTCTATTTTAGGTAGACATCCAAAGTCATCCACCCGGACCTCATCGACCACTTCCAGTATCAATAGTCAAACAACTAGTGATCACACGGACAGCAGCACCAGTAGTCAAATCATTAGAGACCACATCGACAGCACAATTAGTCACATAATTAATGAATACATGGACAGCAGCACCAGTAGTCAGAACATTAGCAGTGAATATAACTACAGCACAGGCCGTAAGCGCTCGATAGCCGAGTCCTTGCGTTCGGACACATCCGCGACAGACAGCGAAGGATCTGATATTAAACCGTATGACTTGGTTTGGGCCAAATGTCAGGGCCATCCCTGGTTCCCGGCGCTGGTGGTCGACCCCAATCGCACGGACACCCTCTATGGAGAGCCCATTCCTCCCAAACACGTGGTGGACATGAAAACGAATGATCGGAACCGCTATTTAGTCAACTATTTCGATGAGAAGCGCTTGTGGTATGCAATCAGTGAGAGATTAGTTACCATTAAATTGATAATTTGTATGTCTGTTTGCATAGGCAATGGTTACCGCGAAATAGTCTGCAAGTGATGGGTATCGACACGAACGGCAAAAAGTTGACCGAAAGGCGCAAACCGAGTGATAGGAAAGCCGTCGAAAAGGCGTTCACCGGAGCCCTTGAATTCAGTGCTCATATGTCAGCCATAGAGTCGGGCATTGAATGAGAAAATTATTACAATTATGTTAACGTTTTTAATATAAATATAATTTAATATTAACTGAAATCTATCAGCAATCATAATTATTGAAAAAAATAAATATACTTTTTATTTACACAATTATAACAACTATTTATGAAATACTGTATAATATATAATAAAATACTCTATCATTTATAATTAACTGTACAGTACTCTGTGTCTGTGATCAATGTTGTTAAACGTAATTCACTCAAAAGTCATGAATAAAAGTAAATTATTTTATACATAATCACGAATCGGTTCAATGGTTACGCCGTTTATGTGGTCTCAAGACATGGGAGTACTGAACAGCCTTTCCAATTGCATTAACGGCTAAACACGTGAATGGGTTTTCAAATGCTTACTCAAAACGCCTTTAGTCTTAAACCGTTTGTCACATGCGGGCCAATGGCACGTAAACTGTCTGTCCATACAGTGAACGGCACCGGTATGTTGTTGGACACTATCCCTGGTTTTGCGGCAAAAGTTTTTAGGGCCTAAACTCACAGTCGGACCACATTTGTCTCCATAACAACACAAACACTGATCTATGGGTTCACTCATTACGACAGTTGTGGCAAAACTGGTTGACCCGGTTGTCATCGCCTGTAAATAACTCGCTGTTTATTATTGTCATAAAAATACTTACACTCAATACAGACGTAAACAAAATTAAATTATAATAAATAGTTTCAATCAAATTAAACATAAATAAACTTAAAAGTGAATAAGTATTTGATATATAATTATGTTATTTATGTATGAATTGAGTCGAAAGTCCGCTTAATTTCAGTAAACAATAGATTGGTTTCAAAAGTTTTGGACTTTTATTTGAATTACAATT